GAAGGACATCATACTTGGTAAAGTAGAGTGTCAGCAAAAAAAAAAGGAAGACCCTCAACAAGATGAATGGACACAGTTGTTGCAACAATAGGCTCAGTCATAGCAAGGATTAGGAGGATGGTGCAGGATGGGGTAGAGCTGTGTTCTGTTGTACATAGGGTCCCTGAGTTGAAACCAACTGAAGGGCACCTAACAACAACAACATAGATGAAACCATCCAGATGATGGAAGGAGTTCTCTAAAAAACTCAACACGAGAGAAAGGGTCAGCTTTAAAACTTGCTGGGCAGGAGACAATTTGTAACACCACCAAACAAGTAAGAACTTCCCTGCCACTTCTTCCCTTGGCTCCCACAGTCCTCTCCCTGTTTCTCACTGCCCCCCTTGACTCTTTAAGTGTCAGAAACTGTGGTTAGATAAATGGATGAGAAGGACTATAAGTGGAATGTAGGGGGTGGGGGAGAGAAGAAGCCAATCATGCCCCTTCCCCAACTCAAGGCATCTCATTTGTAGCAGGCTGCAGCTGTGGCTACACCTTCTTAGAGGAGAACTTTACTTTTCAATCAAGGTTGGCATTTTTATTATTACACAGGCTGGACATATTAACTAGTGAACCAAAACCTTGAATGTGACCTACTCCCTGTCTGACTGGTAAATCACAACTAATTTTCCAAGAGCTCAAGGCTCGCTTCCTATTCTCTTCATCCGGAACTGACCATTCTCTGTGCCTGCTCTGTCCTATCAGAAACCATGGGATGCTGAATTTCATTTGTTTGGTTATTTGCATGTCTTTGCTCTCAAACATCCTGTAAGCTCTAAAAAGCAGAGATGAATTACTCACATTTGTACCACCAACACCACACTCACCAGTATGCAATTGCCTCCCAATAAAATTATAAAAGTAATCTACTTAAAACAGCAAACTAATATGAAGAACCTAGAATAGGCAAAATACATTGAGATTAGAGTTTGATAGTAGTTTCCAGGGATGGTGTGTGTGGGGGATGGGTAGAATAATTGCTTTTAAGAAGCATTGAGTTTTTGTTTATAGGGATGGAAAATTTGGCAAACGATATTGGAGATGGTTGCACAACATGATTGATGTCATTGATCACACTGAATTGTAGACATGAAAAATGTTGATTGGGCAAATGTGTTATTTAAATTTTTATAACAATAATTTTTTTAAAAAAAATTGATTGAATATATAACATGAACAAAAAAATAACAGACTTTTTCTAAGAGAGACTGTAATGCAAACTTGTCTTTATTTCTGAGTGAGAAATTAAAAATGGCAGCCTCTGAAGAATGCAGTGTAATTGAAAATCCTTTGTAATCAATATGCTCAAGGGCTTTTAGTACCTGAGCACTTAGTACCTGGGTGCTCTCCAAGGGTTCATGAGAAAATGCTCTACTAGCTCTCAATTCCAATGTGCTTTTCTGAGATGGAGTCGTTGGGAGCATTTTTACACCTTTCTGTGTTTCTTTCACAGGTTTCTTTAGAAGAAGCATTACCAAAAACGCTGTGTACAAGTGTAAAAATGGGGGCAACTGTGTGATGGACATGTACATGCGAAGGAAGTGCCAAGAGTGTCGACTAAGGAAATGCAAAGAGATGGGAATGTTGGCTGAATGTATGTATACAGGTATTCACATCAAGCAATTAAATTCCACTAAAAATCTCTTAAGGAGGCAGATGCCAGGTAATTCCTTTCACTAGAATGGTACATTACATACTAAAGAAGGAATTTCCTTAGCCATCTAAGTGTCCCAAAAAGGGTAATGAGCCACAGAAATTGTCTAAACTGTCAGCTAAAGAGTACTTTATTCACCTAAAAGAAACGGCTGGTCTTTGTTGTTCATTATTGTGATTAAATTATATTCTGCAAAAATAACAGGATTTAATAAGCAACAAAGAATGGCAGTCTAAAAGTTTCATACAAATTTAATGTTAATATACTTCTTATTTATTGCTAAATTAGCAGAAAAAAATGCACAGTTGTAGAAAAAATGAAGGTTGCTTTATAAGGTATACAACTGCCTCTGAATTCTCTAAATAGAGTTTTCAACCAAGTCATTTTATTAAGAATCCTCTTCTCTTACTGCAGCTCTGAACCAATTTGTATAGGTTTACACAGGAAATTAACTACTCTGAGTTTTAATATAATTTGGCCCTTCAATCTGATAAAGAGACACTGTATTAACTGCTGGCTTTGTGAGGAGCTGTAATCTCCATCCAGCTTTGGGATGGATGCTAGCTAGTATATAACATAATTAATTTTTCATTCTGCAAATTTTACAGACCACTCTGATTCTGAGAGCTGTCTTCTGCCTCCTCAAAACACAAATAGACAAACACATGTCACCAAGGGAATGATAACATTCAGGGAGGGAATGCCACATGGAATAAAAGCCTTCCTTCGGAAGGTGACTCCAGTTTTATTGTTCTCAAACTGCAAAGGCAACTGGGATGGGCCCAGAGAGAAAATAGGTCAGTGTAAACAATCCAGCTTCAGGTGGATGAAAGTTTTATAGTGGTCGATGGCAATCTCGTCTTAGCTTATATGAAACAAGAGACTGGCAATGAGGGCTCCTGCTGGCATCCAATCTTGCAGTGGAAACACGTTGATACTAAGTGGTTCATGTTGCTCATCATTTAAGTATGAAGTTGTTCCAACTGAACTACAGAAGGCAGTTTTCATGCCCACCTATAAGTGTCTATGATATCATTTATGAACCCAAACTCATCCAGTAACAGGTGCAGCTCTTTCATATGATTCTATAAAATAAGTTCCCTGAACAAAGAAATCACCAGAACTTTGTTTTATTAACATTGAGAGAAGAATATGGAAGTTCATATGCACGATATGTCTATTATGGAAGTTCATATGCATGATTAGTCTGTTGGTGAGGTACCGCTGAGTCGGCTCTGACTCATAGCAACCCTGTGTACAACAGAATGAAACACTGCC